ATCTGCGCGCGGCCTCATTCAGTTTCAGTAATGAGCCAATTAACTCCTCCTGCGTCCGTGCCGCGTGATTGCGGTGCAGCTCCTATCCATGCACGTGCGCCGAGATCGAGCAAACCTCTACTGATGAGACAATGAGTGAGTGATCTGCTCTGATAAATCTCGCTGATTAGACAATGCGTGGGTGGATCTGATCCAATCTGGATCGGGATCGCTGAGGGCTCTCCATATAAAAGGGGTCCATGGCCTAAGGGGCGACGCAGCCGATTTGTTTTACGATGGCGGCTCTGCGAGTTCTTCTATTGCTCCTGACCAGGTGAGGAGGCGGAGGGGCGTGCTGAGTGGTGTTCAGGGATGTTCCTCAACAGCTCTGGATAATGAAGTCTTGTGTACGTTTGTAAGAGAGGGCGTTTCCATATCGCTTGGGTAACTGACCTGCATGGAGAAATGCATTGAGATAAAAATGTGGAAGTGCGGTCCTGAAATGTCTCGCTTGCCCCATTGTGTGGTAGGGGTTCCAAAGGTGGCATTGCGTGGCGCTGTTCACGCCAATCCATCGTGCACCGTGCTGGCCTTGAATAGGTGCTCCCTAAAATCGCTACTGGCCACTTCATTTTTGTGGGGTGGGCGGGGCGGTGTTTGCCTCTCTCTCCTCCTGCCTTCTCTCGTCTTGGCGGTCACGTGTCTCGTGCTCCCCGCAGCTTCCTCTGCCTGGGCTCCGTCCACGCGAGGCTTCGACAGTCGCTGGGACCGCGGACGCTGGGGAGCCGAGTGGTAGGGGGCGCTGCTGCTGCTGTCGCCACATGACAACCACATCGCGCATTCTCTCACTACTGCTATCGTGTGTATGGACACCGCCATGCACAAGACTATAATGGCGGCGTCTCTCGTGAACTGGAAAAGCGTTACCGGCGACACGAGTTGCCAACAAGAGCGCTGCCTGGACGAGGTGGAGGGGGGGGGTGAATTTGTTGTGCGCCTGCCGCCGGAGCGGTCACGTGACGCGACGTGATGGCTGCCGCTGGGCATAGGCTGGCACGTGGATAATTAATAATCCTCCAGCGCATGGAAAAGGAGGCGTTTGAGGACATTAACTCTCCCTTGCACGTTCCTTTTTATGATAATAACGCTTTCGAAAAATATGGCTGGTGACTGATTGGCACGGCCCTTGCAACTTTACTTAAAATAGTGAATTGTACAACATTTTACTGCGCAGGACTATACGTAACACTCGCATCCAAAATCATCATGACCTTGTTCCTTTCCATTGTAGTAACAACAAAACTGTGCACTCGCGTTGATAATTTGCATAGCAGGCTCTTCCTTGGCAGCTTTCCACTACAATTTCAAGAGTAATGCAGGGGTCTACTACCAAAATATCACGTTTCAACCAGCGGCTTCGAAGCTGCAGGTTGACGATCCCTGTGTGAGATTCATACTATCGAGTCGTACACGTGCCTTTTGACTTTGCGCCAAATAAGAGCAACACACAACACCTTACACACTTGTGTGCACAGAAAAGTGAAGGGACTGATGTGCGCCCACCCAGCAACCGTCGCGGGCTGTTTTTTAATTGCTCCGTAAGGTGTAGTTGATGTTGACGTTTCAACTTCTGAACTGCTCCCCCAGGTCTGCTGAAGCAATGCATCTCCTCCACCCTGGGTTTTTCTGTGGGATGGAGCAGCTCTTCTCGCAGTGACTACCGTGTCTTTGTACGGAGTGAGTCCACGAGCTTTCACTTAAATCGTGATGACGTAATTGACCATCTTGATCCATTGTATGATTGACTCTATGATGCTTCTCAAGGATACTATCAAATTGATTCGGGGCTGAGATTCTCTGGCCAGTTGTTTGGTCCCAACTGCTTCAATTTCTCTTATTTGGTGTCGATTTTAGGTTTTTTTGATTAATGCTGTGTTGTGAATGTAATTCGCATGAACGATGGAACATTTAATCTGGGATTCAAAGCATGCTAATGTATTGGCGTCGGGGTTCATTTCAACTAGTCTAATACATCAGACTGACGAGAATCAGAACGTATTCTTCCATAAGATAATTGCATGTTTACTAGACGAGTGAATCCCTTCGTCTTGGTTCTTTCGGTAAAGTCACGTAGAAGGAAAATAACAAAATAATAAAAATAAAACATAATAAATAATCTTAATTTTGGAGCTTTATAATAATAAAATAATTCTCACTGGTTCGGCCACAACGCAAGCAGCCGTTTTCATGTGGAGAACAGGTCTGTCAAGTAGACAGTGAATGGCACGCCCCAGGCTTGGAGCGACTATTTATGCTGGGATGGAGGGGCGAAGAGCGCCTTGACAAAATAATTTCCATATCAAGAGGAATTTGGCATATTTATGGGAAATGCATACATGCGATTGGTACTACTTGTGAAATGCGTAGGAGGATTGGCGAGGGGTTTAAAGTCATTATGCCCATGCATTATGCAGGATTAGCAGGATCAAAGGGAGGAGTAAGGTTAGAATTAATAAAGGAAGGAATGTTAATATGGCGCCGCAGCAACTAATATGCTTTTAGACTGTGAATCCCTTATTAATCGATACACCTCCCCCTTGCTTGCCTGCACAATGGGCTCTTCCCTTTCATTGGAACATTTCATGCAAGGTGGTACCTTCTGTTATAAACTGAACCTGGTGACTCCTGTCAGACTCTGGTTCTCTACTCGCATCGTCTGCATTTCCCACCGGAGTCCTCCGTTGACGACTTGGGAGATCTTGTCGCTGAATCTGACACGCAGCCTTATTTACTAGCAACTATTAGACGAGGTCGTTGTGCCGGTTTGGGAGTACCGTAACTCCAACGGTGTATTGAGGATCCTGTGTCCTAGAAACGTTCCGGGTACTGTGGAGATTTCCTATTCGCGTTCACACTGACACCATACTTTGTTGTTCTCTTGCAGTCACGCTGCCCACATGAACTTGTGGTGCGCAATCCAGATGCATGTTTTTCTAACTTTGTTCTTGATGTCTCCAGCGGTGCGGAATGAGGCCGTGGATGTGGAGTCTGTGCAGGGGGAGTGCGGCTTCTCCATCGCGAGGGACGGTGCTGCGCTCCACTTCACCGCTGCTGGTGATGCCTGCCACGTGCGCGTGGAGGTGAACACGAGGAGACCGTTGTGACTTGCGTCGATGCTAGTACCCGCTGGGACTGCTGTGGCAGTAGCGAAATTGATGTTTCGCAATCCATAACCGATCGGCCATCACGTGCCCACGATGTTGTCTGGCCAGAATCGAATTTGATTGTCTACTCTGGTATTTTCCCCTCTACGTTTGCTTAGCTCGTGCATTTATTTTTAAGTTCCTAAGGTTTTTTTAGCTCATGCCGTCCACTCTGGAATTTGTTTTCAGATGGTTTGCATTGCTTTTTCAATTTATTCCTACAATATATTATTTCGATCATCTCTGGTGGTAGCGACTTTTTTCTAGTTTATACAGCAGCTCTTTCTCTTGACTGGTATCCCTGGACAATCGATGCAATGCTCATTCCATATATCTTATCAAGATCTTGCCATCTTTGTCTTTTCAGATTTACCTTGGTTTGCACTTTCCATTTGTGATCTTATTCATTGTAGTATGCCATGTCGCTACATTACTCTTTAAGCCAATCCTAAGTATCCTTTCTTGCCCATGGCCTTGCCTCATTGCATTGCTTTTTTGTCTTTAGTCTCCGTTTCGTCAGTCTTATCTCCAGCATAATTGTTCTCCTCCTGTGCTTAACGGTAAAGGATTTGCCATCTAGACGTCCATGTCACCAAGTGGCCACCTTAAAAGGCAATGTGTGAGGTTTAACTCTTACATCACAAAATTACACGGCAAAACAAGCTTTCAGTTGTGTATTTCACGCCTGCTAATGGATGCAGCATTCGCGATACTATTCAATGCAAAGAAGGGAATCGGAGCAGTTTGATGCTTGGTATAGAATCAACGGCACTATATTGCTACAGATCACTATCCAAGCTGGCCTCTAAGAGACCAACGTAGATGTAAGAAAATATTGCACACGGGGCTTACTTGGACATGTATGATCTACAACAGCAAAATGTAAGTGGCAGACCTAACCAACATACGAGCTTTGTGCCAGAAATATGTGCACTACTTGAGGTTGCTTGCAGAAGACATGAAAGTCTTGTGAAGGGTGGTAATTTGTGAGTGCTATGTTTGTGGGAAGAGTAATGGCGGTTTTGTGGCAAGCTGAATATGGAAACTGTATTACAACGGAGCAGCGCAGCATCCGTTTGTACAATAACAAGGGTTAACCTGGGAAGGTGATTTCGGACCCAGGAATGCAACCCCCCCCCCCCCCCACGTGCGGTCTACCTGCCTTAATTTGGGTGGTAGGTGGTGGCGGGTTCCCATTTGACAGTTTTACTTGTCATTAGCCTGGCCTCGCCCAACAATGTCGAATGCACTAAATCTACTGATTTGTTTAAGCTTCCTGGAGCACTGGCCCCGAGTCCGATGTTGAGGGCTGCTGATTTCACCAGGACGGCAGGAGGAAGATCCAGGTGGAGCTGCAGGAGATGCGGCAGGGGCTGAATGGACTCGTCTGGGCTTTCACCATCGACTGCCCTGAGAACCTAAGATCGGCGAGGGCTGGAGGTGAGTACCATTGATTTGACTCTGCTAATCGGACCCACAGACTGCACTACCTCTGACTTGGTGCTCTAGAATGGGTCTGCTGGGTCACAGCTGCCTTTGTTTCGACCTAGATCATCTCTCCTGGTGCTTTTGCAATAATGCGCTTGCATTTCCTGCAAATGCGTTTCATGCCCTTGGCTTTTACTGGACAAACTTGCAGCTTGAATCCTTTTCCGATGCACTTTCCCCCAATGGCTGATTGCAATAGTTGCACCATATAACGCATTTTCCTAATGCACTGCTGGTTGGTGCTGCCCTGGGTCTTGAGGGTTAATTTGACCATGCTTCACCACGCTGCTCCTTGTTGGCCGAGGTTGAGTGGCACTAACCTTCAATGCAACAAATTGTGCTGCACTGCCAGAGCCTTTTACAGCCAGTGAGCAACGTGTTTGCCCATCTTTGCTGTACACTCAACCCTGCTCCGCTTCTGAGATTGCGTGCATTGCCCGGGTGATTTGGTCATGTGCCAAGTAACACTCCTTAACATACATGACACGTGGCTCAATCGATGCCGTTTTATTTTAAGTACGTGTGGGGTTTTGTACGATGACCTGTTGTGCTCCTGCTGCTGTTAGAGATCGCCACGTGCTCTGGTCAGAGCAGGAACTTCCCATGCAACTCTGTGCAGAGTGTCCCGAGCGCGGACGTCTGTGCACAGAGTGGCTGCTGCTACGACCCCACTCTACGCCGCTGCTTCTACAGTGAAGCTGGTACGTAGCTGACTCAAAACAGAGGTTCCATAATTCACTACCTAAACTAGGCTCTTGCTTTGAGGTTCTATGTTGGCACAGTAGCATCCTGCTGTGCTGGTTCCCTGAACTTGTTCTATCACCCGGAACTCTCCATTACCCTCCCGCCATGCTCCACCCAGTGTGCACCACAGATGGGCGCTTTGTGGTGCCCGTGTCTCGGAACCTAACGTCTCCGCCGCTGGACCTGAGCACCGTGCACCTGACTGGCGGTAGCAGTGCGCAGTGCAGCCCCGTGCTGGTGTCTGCAGACCTTGCAGTCTTTGACGTACCCATGGCAGCGTGTGGTGCCACTGTGCAGGTAATGGGCTCCTGGACTCTGCTTTGCCCTGCCCCATCCTGATGGTTGTTGTTTGACCTTGTTGAAGTGCTGCATCGGACCCTTCCGATGCACAACTCCTTGATGTGCAGAGCACAATCATGCACGAGTTGATAAAGAACAACAGGGTCACTTTATGATTGAGTGTCAAATGAATCGAGTGCCAAAGCAGAATTTAGGGGGATTCTAATATATAATTTGTAGCAAATTGTGAGCAATTTGGACTCCTGGCCAGTACCACTTATCATTCTTCTACTTGATCGCTCAATGGCATTATCGTTTTGTGTGAACTACTTTTTGGTGTGTCCAGTGGAGTGGGCAGGAGCTCGTGTACGAGTTAATGTTGGTCTCCGAGCGGGAGCTCTGCGTTGATGGAAGCGTCGCCATCACCAAGTCGTCCACATACAAGTAAGGCCCACTGCAAGTGCTGTGCTCTTGAGGGTGAAGCATGAGTCTTGCAGAGGAGACCCACCCCCATCAATGGCCACTGTCCCTGCGACATTAAATATTTGCAGCATATGCCTGCAGAACCGTGACCAATCTGTGCTTCCATATTCAACGATTTAATTTATTAAATTGGGACATTCGACACACAAGGGCGACTTTTCCTCGTCACAGGATCTTTAACATCTTGAAGTAGTAGGAATATGGTTTATGGCTAATGTAAACACGGTATTAACCAAAGTGGTCCCTTCACTGGTACGTCTGCAAAACACCCTATCGGTCTGCTGTGTGGCTCCTGCAATCTCTTGCTGCCGTGAGGGCGTTGTGCATGCCTTTTGGCTGGTGGTGTGTTTACCAGGATGGTTCTTCAATGCCGCTTCCTTGGAAGTGGAGACCTGCAGCTTGGAGTGCAGGTGAGCACTCTTCCACCGCCACCTCCAGCCACGGCCACTGGGCCCCTCTCCCTGCTGCTCCAGGTCTTCACTGGTGAGTGCTGCTCTCTCGACACCCTGTGCAGCTCTGATGGACAAATGCCACCTTGAACACGGGTTGTGATGTCGCTCTACCCAGGGAAGACTTGGGTCTATATTAGCTCTGACTCGAAGCCAGCTGAAAGTCATTATTTTAGCCATTGCTCGGCTAGGAGCTCGACCCTGGTTTAATTTCCACTGATTGCAGGCTGCATGCGATTTTTGAACATCTGCAGCATTAATCGGCATGGCTGCTGGACTTGAACTGCAACCCCTGCAACAAACGGATGACGTGCTAGGCTGTGCTGCCAGTGTTGTGAACCTGCCAACAGTTTCATAATTAGCCATAAGGGAACTAGAACGACTTGCACATTCTCCATGGTACGACGTGTAACTTAAATGCTAATTTCTGCTGAGGTTTTGAATCTAGCAGCTATTGGCTTGAAATCATGTTGGTGTGGGGCCGACATTGAACGGGATGACAATGCCCCTATCAATCAAAACGGTCTCCTTGAGGGCATTGTTTACAGGAAAATTGGACTGGCTTTCTTAGCCTCATTTGTCAGATCACAATTGCTTGAACGAATGGTTATCAATAGCTTCATTGGTTACCAATTGGGACTAGAACTTGGCCAACTGTTAGCACCCGATTCCCCCCCTCCGTGTGAAACGGTGCCCCTTACAACATCTACAGACATTTAGAGATGCCGTTGTATGTAGGTGAGGGTCACAGAATTTTATTCTAAAAATACAAATAAAATATAAACCACGATTTTATGCCAGGAACATGTTGAGATGTGCACTAGTTCAATTCAAAAGTAATGCGCACGTTTTAGGGGCTTTGCCTTGTCCAATGTGCTCTAAACAGGTCCTTTACACCACTAATCCACATGCCTTGTGAACCATGTCTGCACGCTGCCAGACAACTCCTACACCACGCCGTACCAGCCCTGGCAGTACCCGCTGGTAACGCTTCTGGGAACGCCGCTCTACGTGCAGGCGTCACTGCTGCACCGCTCTGACCCCACGCTGGTGCTCTTCCTGAAGGACTGCTGGGCCACGCCCACGACAGATGCCACCGACCCCACGCAGTGGAAGCTTGTGGTGGATGGGTGAGGCTGGGCGGGGTAGTGCTCTCTCTCTGCCACAGCAGGGCCTGCAGAGGCAACCTGGTTTGAGGCATTGGTTGTCTTTTCTTCCCCCACGTAAGCAGAGTTGTGCTAATTACGTCCCCTTGCAATGACAACGGTTCGTGTAATGGTGACTATCAAGTACTGGCGTCTAAGCAAGATTGCAGTGCCATCCCAAATGTCGATGGCCACTGCTCCTTGGGTTCTGGATGTTAACACAGCCACCCTCTGCCTCCCAGAGCTGGTGGTTTGTACAAGGCCCGACTACATGCAGTGATGGTTGCATTGCACAGATGCACTGCATTGGCATTTGGGCTGCCTTGCTAGTCGTGAGCATGTCTTGACTAAAGCTGACCTTCATCCTTGCGTGCAGATTTAAATAAAGATGCGTGCATTCAATCTGCTTTGAATTGAGGGTAAACGGCACTTATTCCTGTGCAGCTGCCCCGTGCAGTCTCCTTGTTGCAGTGTGTTCTTCCCTGGTGTTGCTGACCTGCCACTGCCTTCTCACTACAAGCGTCTGGCACTCCAGGCCTTCGCCTTCATGAACTCTGACCGCAGCACCACCCGTGACCTCGTGAGTGCCCGATTCTTTCCCATCCATTAAAAACCAGGTCACCATGGAGGGATGACGTGTACAACTGGAGGGCAAAAGGACTACCTAAAAACATGGGAACCTTTACTTACCGGAGCGATGCATTCTGTCTGCCACAGGTTTACCTGCACTGCTCTATCGTGGTGTGCGACAGCTCCAGCCCCAACTTCCTCACCGAGTGCAATCGGCAGTGTGGACAGACCAGGCGCTACAGTGAGCAGCACCACCGCGACCTATTGAATATTGTGCTTGTTTACCCAAAAGCCTCGCAAAGTAACGATTTGTCAAGAGGACGAAGGGGTTTTAATGTTGCTATGTTATCGTTTATATTTAGAGTGCATTTGCTGTGACCTTTGCAGACTGGTTTCACAACCCGTGGCATGCCATAATTACCTACTCGTTTGATTTTCTGGGGAACTTGACCTGCAGCATATGATGTCCTTTCGTATGGGCCAGTTGTCATCAACCGATTTCTGTCCTTGTTCCAGAGCGCAACGCCATCTCTGACGCTTCCAGCGTGGTAGGAAAGCACGTGGTGTCGCTGCAGGGCCCCGTGCTCTTTGAAGAAGCTCCTGTTAACGACGCTGCTCTGCTGTTGCTGGAGGCTCCCTCTTCATCGTGGGCCTCGGCTGGGACTCTGTCCTTCTCCTCGTCATTGCCACAGCCGTCATTGCTCTCCTGTCTGCTGCCATTGCCGTCAGGAGGCGCAGGAGCCGGGCTGTGGCGCTCGACGGGAGTGGCTATTGATGACTACTTGTGATTGCTGGCACTTGCATGTCTTGCTGACCATTGTCAAAAATAAAATTCTTAAATTCGCTACTGCTGTTCTGACCTTTCACGAGGATTGTATGTGTGCAATATGTAGGTAGTGTTAGTGCTGCATTTGGCCACGTTTCTTCCCCAAGGCAAGTCCCTCGATAGCAGCAACGTGTACCAAGGTTTAGGCCTTTGGCTTCAAACAAGAGCACCTTGCCATGCTTAAAGAATCTGAATCCAGGTTTCTTTTATTTTGACCTAATGAATCCTTTTCCCCAAACACGCAAATGTGGACATTATGTTCCAGAGACAATTTTTCCGTCACACTAACAAACTATTTCAAAGGAACATCAAGAATGTGGGGCAAGGGGGGAGAAACGGAATACTGCCAACTTTAACTAGCTTTAAGTAAAGGTTGGGTTGACCTTGGTTGTAGCATTACAAAGCATCTGTCTACATTGCCAAAAGTGCTCTGCCCCTGGAAAAGACAACCACAACGCTAATGGAGGCTTGACTAGACATTCTTTGTGGCCTTGTGCACAAGTGGCTTGTTTCAGATCCCTGGTTCTGAAGCAGTGACGCATCCGTCTATCTGCATTGGGGTGAATGCTGGATAAACTCTGCCTCCTCGGTTCGTCAACGTTTAACTCCTTGGGCATGACCCCCCCCCCCCCCCCCAGTTTAATCACATTTTCCTATTACATCGAATAAGGAATAACAATTTAAATTTTAATGAAACATTGTATTTAAAGAAGCTAATTTATAGAAATTATATTACATGGCTCACTCAGTCACGTGTAGACTGGTTGACAGTCTACAAAAGATAATTTTTCTTGATTTTCACTGTCGCAAACTGGTCAATCACGTAATCAAAATCTTTTTTTCCAATGTTTCTCTTTCAACGCTAAGAAGAGCAAGATCGCTGAGACGATCTTGTCCCATTGAAGCACGCAAATACGACATAAGTTTCAATTTGCTGAACGACCAGCTCACAGCTTGCAATTGAAACTGCTATTGTTAATAAAATTTGCAGTGAAATTCGCAAATTCGGAAATATGTCGTCCATAAAACACAAACGATCCAAAGGAGTTTCTGGAAGAACTTAATTCCGGTTACTGAGCAGCATTTTGCAATCTCCAATTCTGAAAAGTTCGTGGCCATTGTCGGTGTCATAGAAATTTCCAAAATCTGCAATTTCGACGAATTGCATTGACATCTGTGTCGGATAGAAGAGTTTTGACGTCCAGCAGAAATCCATATTTTGTGTTCAGGTCTTTTAGTCGTAAAAACCGTGTGACATTCTGGAAGTCGATAAAGTACGCTCTTCATAACGCGCACAATTTCTTCTGCTGAAAGTCCTGCATCTCTTGCCAGTTCTCCTGGCATCTTCTTCTGTCCACATCGATCCCCCAGGCTGTGCATCTTGTTTTGGCATTTTCTACAGCAACTTGGCTCAAATCATCACGAAGCTTGACAAATTCATGCTCCAAAGATTCAAGATCAGTTGCTGCTTCCTTGAAGCTCATAGTAGGATCCTGTTGTATCTATGCCCCGTTTTCCAAAAATTCCTGTAAGCGCTTCTGAACACGATACATTTTTCCAAGAATGACATTCTAGAAATGTAATAACTATGAAGTTAAAATTTAATGCGCATGCCTGTAACTGTTCTGCATCGCTTCTGGTTTCAGGCGTCATAGTTACGTCCTCCGATAATTTGTCGAGCAGCCCTACGAGTTCATCCAGTCCTTCATAGATAGCTTTAACAGCTTCTGATCGTGCACTCCAGCATGTTTCAGACTCCCGTTTACTGTGATGGGCACAGCTTTTTTAACTCTTCCCAACGAATTGTTGAACGAGAGAAAAACAAATATATACTTTCAACTGTTCCAAAAAATGTGACGAAATGTGGATCCTGTTTAGCTGAGTGTACTCCTGCTAAGTTTAAGCTGTGGTTGTCACAGTTGACAAACAATGCTCTGTGATTTTTGTCACATTCGTTGTTGAAGGCCGGATATATGCCCAGTCATCACAGCAGCATTGTCATAACATTGTGCCTGACAGTCGGCTAGAGGTATGTTGTCAGATTTCAGTCTTTCGACGATGACTCTCTCTAGGTTTGCTGCATCTTTTGCATGTATATCGATATAACCTAAAAAAAAATATTTTTTGATAGTTAGTTTTTTAGTTTTAAAATCCACATCCACAAATCTTATGACCTGAGAAAGCTGTTCCCGATGTCCTAGATCAGGAGTTGAGTCAAGTAAGATACTGTAGTACTTGTTTTTCCTGATATCATTCAACAATTGGTTAATTGTTTTTTTACCCTTCTATCTGGCAACAAAACTGACACCTTTTTACAAGGAGTCATGTTTGCATAGACCGCAATACCTGCAGTCATAATACAAACAAAAGAACATAACTCTGATAATGTGCACTGTCCTTGAAATTGATTGGTCCACAACCGAGACAGCTTTCCTTAGAGCCTAGTCTCACATGGGTTGGACCAGATGACGCCAAAAGGCGCACAACTCAAAGACAATGCACCATCAGAGTATGAGAGCTCGGGGCAAGCATCTACACTATGGGAACCTCATTTGCCAGTAAAAATATGATAATTGTTTTTTTACCCTTCTATCTGGCAACAAAACTGACACCTTTTTACAAGGAGTCATGTTTGCATAGACCGCAATACCTGCAGTCATAATACAAACAAAAGAACTAGCTAAATAAATAAATAAACATCGACGTTTCGGACACGACACAAGTGTCCGTCATCAGGTGGGACAACCACAGAAAAAAACAGTTGCTAAAGTAGGCAAAAGAGCTGCTAGTAACAGGGGGTTATATAGATGAGGGAGGGAGGGGGTGTAGCCAAGGATAAAGAGGGTGGGGGGGGGGGAAGCAAAAATGACATTGACGGCAGATAACCTGAGGAGCAGGGAGCGGTAAATGACCTGCGCTGCAAGCTCGACATGCAACGGCAAATTTCCGAATGATGGGAATGAGCAGGGCTGGGTGTAAGAGACTGTAGATGCGGACATTAAGGCAAACCATGAAGCAGTTAAGGTTTTACCTGGTTAATAACATCCTTCCAATGATTGCTCAATTTGTATCCATCTTCTCGGATGAAGTTACGTCTATGTTTATATATCTGGATGACGTCATGTGTGTGTGTAGACCCACGTGGTAGTGACGCTCCCGGCATAGTGACGTCACATGTGTGAGTGTGTACACAGTAGTAATAATACAATCATTACATCACCCTCCCCCATGTAAAAAAACAGCCATCCTGGCTGTGACAATACAGAAAAAACAGTCTCCAACAACAACATCAATAAATAACCGGCGACGATAATAATTACCGCGAGAACATATGTACACACACGAGAGGGGGGAAGGGTAAAACGTATGGAACGAGGGGAACCAACAATAAACACATGTTCACCGAGAATAACTGGTCAACCCACTTTTCCCTCAGCACAGCCCATCCATGTGAAATTGTATGCACGGACCGACATGTTAATGTGACTGTTCGACAACGGTGTAAGCAATCAACAAGGCGTCAGAGTCATGCACAGCGGCCAGTCTTTCGAAGGAGTTCGCGTGGCCGAGCCCTCAGGGGAGGCAAGCACGCTCTCCCTGGAGGTCCCGGGGGAACTTGAAAAAGGCCCAAAGAGGGCACGGCCCCTCCCCAGGAGTTGGGCAACAGGATGAGCAGGAGTGATGTACGGGCGCTCCACTGCCCCTTCAAGTCCACATCCGGTCAGCACAACCGGCGACTCCAAGGGCGGCAGGTGCAGGAATCCTGTGACGAGAAGAAACCACCTGAGGCACAGCACCACAAGCCTGCGCCTCAGCTCGTCGGACATGACAGCCACCCGGGCCCAGGGAAGTGGAGATGATCGTATTCCGCCCAGCGGAAGAAAGAAAAACTAAAATACATAGATTTCGACGCGTTGGATGCGCAACCAACACCGGTAATCAAACCAAATTCATACAACCACCCCATGGATGGCAGGGTCTCACACCGCTCTGCACCGTTCCACCCCACAGGTGGCAATAGGGCGAAGACCGAAAGTCTAACACCCACCTACACACACTGCTTAACATTCGGAGGTCTCCCTACGTCCCAGGTCGAGAAGTCGCACTTCAGGGTCGACCCATGTGCTGGCTGAAGGAAGTCACGCTTCAAGGTCGAGCCAGTAAACTGCACCCAAAGGTACAACGTTGGATGTTGTACAACATCCCGGGTCAAGGAAGTCATGCTTCCAGGCTGACCCATGTACTGGGCAAAAAGTCTCACTTCAGGGATGCCCCAGTATCTACATTTTTTGTGAAAATATGTGAAATCGACATGGCACAAAAAAAAATGCCTGCTCTTGCCCAGAAATAGTTCACACGTGCAACCCAAACATCTCCGAGGCCACCCGTGTACGTAAAAAATGGCGGCCACATGCGCAACCCGCGTCCCCACAGCTTCCCGCACACGCCCTTGGCATCTCGGTCATTTACGTGTAGCCAAAGTCTTCGCGATTTCCTATGGAACCTGGTCCAAAGAGATAAGTTTCATCAAGTCCTTCACAGGGCAAAAATTAATGGCTAAAGAGATTTCTACATCAACAATACTCCCGTTGTCAATAGCACCGTGGCTTGTCTCAGGACATGTACCCCGCACGATAGGGCTAACTGTTTTTAATGATAGACACCGAACCGAACCCGAGCATTTAGGAACTACTGGCTTCGACCTAAGAATACGTCCCCGAGAGGTGCCAACTGTCTGTGTCCGTAATGAACAATTTCTCATCCGAATGGCGATTCCGAGGGCAGGCATTGCGGGGCAGACTCCTTCTATTCTCTGCTTGGCTACTTGCCCACTGCTTTACAGAAGTCAAATGGATTTTTTAAGTGCAATTCCGATCCAGGGCTAATGTTCTCCCTGTGTTCATCTCAACTGCTGGCGAGTTATCGCAGCCCTCAGTCGTCCGCCCATTCTAAGCTTTGAAA